TAGTAAATTTGGATCACAAAACTCAGACACAAATGCAGGCACAATTAGAATCAATTACTCAAAATGGACAGAAAAAATTCTCACCTTTCAGGAACAGGCCAGGAAAGAGAGAAAAAAAAATAAAAGAACATACGAAAAATTGTATATTAACAAAATATTGGTAAAAGCCTAGCAGGACGAGGTCAAAACAAAAATGATTTTTTGTATAACATAAACGTGGCGGCGACTTAGAAAATGGCAGCCCTTTTCGTATTTTGTCAGAAACTAGGAATGGAGAGAGAAGTGTAGATTAGTAGTAGAGGTAGGAAGAACTTTGTTAGCTGTTTACAGTTTGGTTTACACTGAAAATTCTAAATAGATACTGATATCTAATGGAATATATCAATTGTGAGAGTGGGATTATATTATTAAGGGGAAAATGTTTTTCAAGAGGCAAAAGTCAAACAAAACACCATGAAAGTCATGCTCACTGCTGCTTGTTCATGGGTTGATTCCCCCTTCTACTGCTCAATTTATTGCCAGATTTTTAAAATTAATTTTGAATTTTCTGCGAGACTTGTTGGGATTCTGGTAACTCGACCTTATTCCTTAATAGTCCATAAAGATTATCTTTACACAGTGAATTCCATTATGTACCTTTTTAGACAGTATTTCTTTTAGAAGATTTATTGGATTTTGTATAGATTATAATGCTTTGAGTTGATCGTGTGATTAGTCTATAAAAGAATGCTTGGCGTGTATATATATTTACTTTCGGTGTATATATATGATATGATAGATTATTGCGTGTTAAAACGTACAAAGTAAATCAATTGTTTTAATAATTTACAAATAAGGTACACTTGATAATTTTTCTAAGTAAATTAGAATAAGCCACAATTTGATTTGCTAACAAAAAAATAAAGTATTGTTTAAAGATGCGAAATTTGAACTGGTAATGTCTAAACTTTGTAACTAGTACATATATCATGCAAACGGGCTATACTTTGATAAATTGCATAAATCATTGTAATATATAAAACATATATAAGATTTTGTTAAATTAGTGTGTGGCCAACAAAACAATATTACGATTATATTACAAATAAATATATAAATAACATGAATTATGATTTATTTTTTATTTTTAAATCGGATCGGATTGGACAATTCGATCTATCGGGAATTAGCTTAACGACAAAAAACATTTGCAAGCGAACTGATCGGTACGCAAAAAACCTCGGACCGGCTGGAATCGGTCTCAACTCGAGCCTCCTTGCCGGCAGATCGGCTTCAAACCTGCAAAAACTATCACTACAAGAAAATGATGAAATTTCAATGGAAAATTCCAACGGCAATTCCAATGGTTATTCCAATGTATATTTCAATTGGAATTTTCAATTGATTCAAACGGGAATTCCAACAAAAATATTCCGTTAGAATGAGTTTTTCATTGGATTTTGACGATTCCAACGGGGGTGAAAATAAAAATTCCAACGGAAATTGCATATTCCAACGAAAATTCCTACGGTAAAAAAGCCGTTGGAAATATAGTCATTGGAATAATCAAATTCCATCTAAAATTCCAATTAAAAACGCATTCCAACATAAGCTATACCATTGGAATATCCGTTGGATTTTCTAGTGAAATATACTACCATAAGATTTTTTGGAATTTAACAATTTATTTGCAGTGTCTCACACCGGAAGGATTTTCCGGTGAAGAGTCTCCGATGCTTAAATGAGCACTTGTAGAAGACGAAGTGCGGAAAATAGTGTATGGCATAATAGAGAATGTAATGTGATAATATACATAGTTCACTCCCAGGGTTTTCCCAAGACTGCCCGGACAGACTTCCCAAACTGCCTGATAGTACAGCCCGAGCTACCCGAACTGTCCAATTCTGTTAGGCCACATGACCCTATCAACGTTTGGCTCTTAACACCTTGAGATTCTTTTTTATCTTTTAGTCTTTCGTATTAGAATGTCTAATGGTGCGACCAGCTCGATGTCCGCTGACGTAAAACGTTACAGTCGAGTTTTCAGCAGGTCAATCGAGGGCCTTATCTCAACCTGTTGCTGCCTTCCTATACCTCTAGTGTTGTCTTCTACCCAAAGAGTTTTGGTTCCTGCGCTAGCAATGTTCAACCACCATCGGGCTTTCTGCTGTCTTGCTCAACTAGCCAACTCTCTTAGTCTGGTCAACCGGTTTCCTCGATTTATTCCACCAGGGTCCGATATCCCTATCATCGGTCAATACCAGTCAGTCAGACTGGTAGGATCGGTATGATTTTTAAATAAATCTTGTTTTATTTAATATAATTTCTAAGTCACACGAGTCGTGTGTCCATGTCGAGAGCTCGTTTCGTATCCATTAGGCGCGACACGACTTGTGTTGTAAGTCACACAACTCGTGTTCTGAAACTTCCATTTTAGAGGGGTAACCTTTGTACCTTTCTTGATATTCGCGGATGATTTGCTCCTTTTCATGGAGGCCTCAGGTGTTGGGCTTAAAGCAAGTCTTGAACCTTTTCTGTGAACCTTCGGGACTCAAAATTAGCCCAAAAAAGACGCAGGTCCTGTTTTCCAATAATGTGGAGGCACATGAACAAACTAGGTTGGCGGGTTTGTAAACTTCAAGCTGACGAAAAACCTAGGTAAGTATCTTGGACTGCCCATAATTCATGGACTTGTGACTAAAAGCACGTACGCTCATATTTTAGAAAAGGCGGAATCAAGGTCTCTTTATCGATGCATGGCGGTGAGAGTGACTCTTACTCAATCCGTCCTTAGCACTTTGCCTTTTTTATGCAATGCAATTTACCATACTTCCATGTGCAATTACTGATGGTCTCGAAAAAAGATTCCGCGCCTTTGTGTGGGGTGGGTCTGATGAGAAGAAAAAGGAATTCATTTGGTCTCTTGGAATGATGTCTGTCGTCCAAAGCTTGAGGGTGGTCTTTGTATCGAAAATCTACGACGTATGAATAATGCACTTTTGATGAAATTGGGCAGGGGACTTTCGATGAACCAAGATTCAATATGGGCCAGTGTTCTTTTGGTAAGTATAATATCAAAGAAAACAACTCTTTGAATATGTAATAAATGAATTACAAAAAAAAAATAATAATATCACAATTTTTCTACATGCCTAGCTATATAATATCTCATTCGCTACCATATATAGTATAGTATTGTATAATATAATGGTCTGTCAATGTCACCTCCTCTTCCCTCCTATTTCTCTACTCAACAGCTCCTGCAAAAAATCATTCCAGGCGTCAATTGGCCCCGGCAGGCACCAGTGCACGCAATCATTCGCAAACGACAGATTACTCCCCTGCACGTGTCCGTACCTACTCGGGTGCCCGTCCGGCCTCAGCACCATCGCCCTGCTCGCATCAAACAGCCGAAACTTTCTCCTCCCTACAGCCCCCCTATGTGCTATCCTCAGCTCCTCCAGCTGTATCAAGTACATCTCCAGGCTGTAGTCCACCAGTCTCACCTCATCCCGTCCGTACGGCCTCGTCCGCGGGCAATCCCCGCCCTTATCCCACGCAGCCCCCTCGAAGTGCGACGGGGCGAACGTGCGGAGGAACGCCACCCCGCGGAAGCTGTCTGACGTGGCACGGAGGGCGGTGCGGAAGGCTCTGCGGTAGCTGAAGTAGGCGGTGGTGTGGCGGGTGATGTTTGTCTCCGGGCAGTAGAGGCAGCCGACGAGACGGCGGTCAAGGTAGAAGTAGGTGGGGCGGAAGAACCAGTGGCCGGCCGAGATTATGAGGTAGTCGAAGGGGGAGAGGGCTGAGGTCCAGTGGGTGTCGAACTCGTCAAGGAAGAGCTTGAAGGGACGCTTGTCGTCGTTCGGGTCGAGTTTTTCAGTGCGTACGAGGTAGGGAGACCAGAACATGGAGATGTTGAAGTCGTGATCGCGGTATTCGTAACGCTTGTTTTGGTCCAACGGCCCTGATAGGTCCTCTGGAGTTGCAACCTTTCAAAAAAAATTCCAATGTTTTAATTATTTTAGGGAATTAGTTTACTACAGTCTCGTCATGAAATGATTCCGTAGTTATTATTAAATTTTTAGATATACATGTAGATATTGATGACGAAAAAATACGCTAACGAAATTATTCTGTGACGGGACTGCAGTGCATAAACACATTTACTAAATTTTCAATATTTTAATTATAAAATGTATTCAGATTTTTTTAGCATTCTGAAATGTGGTAAAAAATAAAATAAATTAACTCTTGTTGGTTAATTCTAGTAAACTATCAAATCATAATTAAATACGCTTATTGTTAATTGTTAAAAAAAATAAAAAATTAAGAGAATAGGTAGTTGTATAAACACATGAAAAAAATTTCTATGTAAATATCTTATATAAAATTTTGGACAATCGCAATATCAAATAATAAATAGTTAATACGTTTATGAATCAACCAAAGAAAAAGGGATACAAAAAGAAANCATAAAAATAAAATCATAAAAGAGTTTGTTATTGAATTATTTCACTACTTCGTCCCACATATTTATATTCTTTTCGTTTCCACGAAGTTGTGAAAATATTTCCAGAAAGAATATTAATTTCCAACATAGAATCACCATTCATTGTTCACTTATTGTCATTCTTATATCATTAATTGAATTGATTGAAACTTCATTTAGAAAATCGAATAAAGTGTACATCACTGAAATTTTTATACCATAATTACATTATACATAATCCAATATTCTCCTATTTTTCAAATCAATAACATCTAATTATCACTTTCACACTAAAGCAAGATGTATGAAATCACACGTATTCTCAAAATTATTTTTTCACTTTCCCATTCTCTTGTTCCTTCGTTCTAAGTCAAATTTTGGTCACGTCTTTGATTAATGCTAAAAAATATAGTTAGGTTGATTTAAATATGTTCTTATGCATATTCATTAATTCAATACTCAATTTTTATGTACTTACTCTTGACAACAGGCAAATCAAAGACTGCATGTGATTCCTAGCCACGGAGTCTCCCACAAAAGCTATAGATTTCCCACTAACGAGCTCCAAGAATCGGGCCGGGTCAAAAACGGGCAGCTCGCAATCATCGGGCTTCCATCTCCATTTCAAAAATCCCCTGTCGGGCCGCCCGAACTTCAAGCAGTTCTGATGCTCCTGAATCGCACTACACGTGTCGTTCGTATAATACGGGCCCTCGGGATTCGGGACCCACTCCCCGGAAAACAAATCACATTCCTCCTCGTCCAATAGTTGTGATCTCACCATCTCACGATCATTGGGCCCAATGGGCCGGTGTTTGTTTTCTTTATGGGCCGACACGCGGGCCACTCTTTTCTTTCTATTGGCCCGCTCTTGCTTCTTTCGCACCGGATGGTGCTCGGTTGGCGCCGGTTGATCATTATTACATTCTGCGGCGGAGCAATTAGTTGTTTGGGTATTGTTTTCGGATATTACTTCCTGGGGAGGTGTTTCGAAAGATTGGGTTGATTTGATTGGTTTGTCTACGGGATCATCGTACACCGGCGATGTATCGGATAATTTCTTGGACGAGTCTCTAACGGTGGGATAGTACAAAGGGATTGTTAGAAGGATGGTTAGGGCTATGAGTGGAGCAAGTTTTGATGTTTTTTTTCTTGCTTGATGATGAGGCTTTCCTATGGGAAGTTCCGAGGCTTGAAACTTCATTTTTTCTTTTTTCTTTTTTTTTGTTACGAATTTTGCGGAGATGTCGTAAAATAAGGGGTGGTTTTGAATTTTATGGGGTTGTGTATATGTGTGGTGTGGTAATTAATTTGAGTAGGAAGATTTTTTTTTTTATTTTTTATTTTTTTTTCATTTTAGTATATCTATTCTTATGTCAACATTGGTCTTATGATGGTCAAACCGGATTCAGAGCAAACAATGTATGGTGGTGGTTATGGTAATGAAGATATATTTTAGAGATATTTAGCTGGCTGCCTAACATTTTTGTAATTCCAGTCTTTTTTATTAATAAAATAATCTTTTAAATTATTTACTGCGAATGAGTATTGATTAGACTCGATTTTCGAATTCCATATTGTGCAATGTTTGTTTATAATTTTTTTGGTTTTGATTGGTTTTTTCGTCAACCATAGTTAGTTTTAAAAAAAGTTAAATCAGTTACGTTTAGGTGGGATGATTAGAGTTGATCTGATGTAAAAGTAATAGATGTGTGATTGGAAGTGATGGGTCATTAAAATGATGTGAGTGAATAAATAGTTAATTAAAATTGATGTGATGTGTATGGATGATTGATTTATATTATTTATTTATGTTAATAATATTGAAGATAGCGAGATTGAGTTAAATTTGAGTTAGATTTGAGTTGAGATTGAATATTTTTATAAAACTTATAAACAAACATCATATCACAGTGGCATCAAAATGCAAATATGACAAACGAAAAAATATTCTTGGATATATATATATATATATATATGGAGACTTGGATAAATATATGGAGAGACGGAAGTAAAAGTCTTGTTGGTGTGACAACTGTAAGAACCATCCGATGACTCCATAGAATTACTGTAAGAACCAACCCTTAATTATATTAATTTCAACCATCTGAATTAGGTTTTAAATATTAACAAAAACTGTACAAATACTATTTCATAGATAGTGGTGGGTAAATTGGGAAAGTTAAGATTTTTGAGAATCACAACTTTATTCCTTAACCAAGTTTTAGGAACTATCCCAAAGAAAGAAACTTTATACCATAAAGAAGATAAAACATTTTTTTTTAGTTGTCACAATTCTTTAAAATAAAATTAGTCAGCACAACATAGGGGGAAAAAAAAGAAACCACTTCTTAGTTGTTACAAAAAGACGGTGAAAAAACTTTCAAAACAAATGTGTAAGAAAAATTGATTTTGTATTTATTTGTTCAGTTACATTTTTTGTAATTGGAAGACATAGAACGTTCTCATAACCATTGTAAAGTGAATAAGAAATTAATTCTAAGTATTATATGTGGATAAATATAAGATTGAAACAATTGAAGTTTAAGTAAATACAAAATTGTTGGATTAAATGGTTTGGGTTTTGACAAATATCTGGACAAATCAAATGTGTTATATTCATGTATTAGGCATGCTATAACTCTAATAGGGTTTGTTCGGGACAAATTGAAAGAAAAAGAGGCATGATTTGGAGTTCGAACGAGTGTGTACAGTCTCACGGCACTTGGCGTGCATTTAGCTCTTTGCGGCTCGTGAAGACCTTCGCGGCCCTCGACAATCCGCGAAGCCAACTTGCGGTCATGACCAGTTTTGGGATGTTTGTCTCGATGCTTGTCGCAGCACACAAAGGCTCCCAAGCTTTTGTGACCATAAGGTGTCTTTTAGCTTTCAAATACGTCTGTTCTCGTTCGGGCACATCCCAAAATGTGTCTTTTGACACTTAAAACCTCTTAGAGGTATTTTTCTATATCTATAAATACCCACATATAATCATTCATAACACCTACAAAGTTCATATAAGCATATTGTGTTATTTGATTTTTCGTTGTGTCTTGAGAGTTCCAAACAATAGTATTGTTTGCGAAGACTTGTTTATTAGAAGTATCGCTATGTACAAGTCAAAAGTTGTTGTATCATAGATGTGATTGCCGTTAACCATGAGTATTTTACGAGGCCATCTCGTCTTAAATAGAACGTAACTATTACGTACCTCGACTTTTATTTTGTCTCAGTTTTTTCCATTCGCCTTAAGTCATCCTCTTGATATTCACATACAAACAAACAAAACAATCTTAAGACATAATTTTTGTGAGTTCATAAGATGAAAACAAAGAAAATCAAAAGTATTCTTCAAGTGCTCAACCAACCATTACACCGACTACTAATCCATTCACCTCAATGGTAAAACATATTTTTAAAATTAAGGAAGAATGTATTTTTAAAATTCCTCGACTTCAAATGATGCAGGAACCGATAAAGTGGTGTGCTAAGAATGTATTTAATTTTGGCAACTTAGAGAATGATTTTTTTTTTCTTTTACAAATTAAGGCATGGACCTAAATTTGGGTGACCTGTGAACAATTTGTCCCATAATAATTTCTAATATGACTGCACTACAAATAAAAATACAATTCCAACTCTATTATTACACAAAAAGCAAACATAAATCCAACAGACATCTGCATAAGACTGGAGGATTTGGGACTTCGTTCAGATACCCAAGTATCCATAATTTCTGGTGGCAAATATAGTGTCTAAGCCAATGGATTTCAGAATTTGGCGCCAAAGAACTTCCAAGCTACAGTTCCAATTTGCATCTCTTCAAATAGAAAAAAGTAGTTCAATCATCCAAATTGAGGTCATCATCAAACCTTCATAAATCCCTTAATAATCCCCATCATCTCACTCCCATCAAACCTCCCAAGACACCCCATACTTGCAGCTATCTCGTTGAACTCGCAAACACCGTCACCCTTAAATGCCCCTCCCGATTTCCCTTCATGCCTCACATAACCACTTTCCAGCGCCAGGTCATCACCACTGCCTTCTTCAACACTAGGAAGCGGGAAAGGGTCCAGAGAAGTTTCTAGAAGGTTGGAATCCCCACCTACAGCCCCCACAAAGTCCTTCAAACGGCAGAGAGTGAACGGGACTGGTTCAAAGCTGTGGTCCCCATACTCGACGGGCGTGGAATGATCGCCCGTTACGCAAATGTAGTACTGTAAAGCACCAGAAGAGCTCGACTCAGATTGCCAGAGGAGCTTCGCCAGCTGTCCTATGGCCTGATCGACGGCCTCCAATCCTCTGGCTTTGAAGGCACTCGCTTTATCATGCCCAGCATCGTCTATTGCCTGCATTTGAAGAAGTTCAGGAGATAGCCTTACCTGGTCTTTAAAGAAAAATTCATTTTTCTTGGCCAAAGAAAACATGTTTTTTTTTTCTATTAAATATTACCAAGTGCCCTTCAGATTTAATTTCATGTTGGGAATAACTTTGTAATATTTCAATACACGTGATGGTGTTTTGGAATGTTTTTCTTATATGAAAGATATTCTCAGAACCCTTTTCCATAAATTTATTAAACCAAAACCTAAAGGAGGTTATTTTTAATAATCCTAAAGGTAAAACAGAAGCAAGAAAATTAGAGGCGCGTCAGTCTTGGAAGAAATTAATAAGAATATACAATTAATTGAATCTTAGAATTCTGAAAAACTGAAACTACTCGAATGAAATATTCTATCCACACTCCACAAATGTGATCCAGATGCCTACATATTACCATATATGTGTAGATAAATTGTGTATCATGAGAACAAACGCGGATATAGTATACTAGTAAGAAAAAAGCTATGCCCAGAATATGCCCAAGTTTATAATGTCAGAAAACAACAAGTAACACAAGCTTTCAACTGGCTCAAGCACACGTAACATAACTATGCAAGTAACAAAAACTAATGTAGAGTCTGGTAATAAGAGATCACCTTAATGTGAAGGAAACCAAAATCGTAGCCATTTGGTTGACCAGGTTTATGTTCATCCTCCCCAGGTACAAAGATATTGGGGCACGCTTGAAAAGGAGCCGAAAGTGCACTGGCAATTGCGGCAGCTTTGGATGTTAACAAGGTCCTGTAATCTCCTGTGGCCCCAGGAGCTTCTAGAATGTCGATACCAAGAGATAAGCCCAATCCAGCTATAATTTTGGTAGGGGCAACCATACATGGCCGCAAACCGTGTATCTTTTCAAATTGAGGAACCTTGTTTGCGTAAAATAAAAGGGATAATTACAAAAAGAAGATGAAAACGGGGTTCAGTCGATTTAATATTATTTTCCAAAAGGAGAAATTACGAAATAAGTAACTACTAGTTATAAAAGTTTGCTCACATCATCATATTTGTCAGTAAATTCAAACCATTGAAGGTGTATAGCTAATGTTGAAAGACGTCTGGACTTTCTAAGCAAAGGTTAACTTTAAGTAGACTTTCCATTCAAATTGAGCTACAACTATTAATACCCTAAAACACAGAGGAGCAGGAAGCAACTATGTTCAGTCCATTTTCCCTTTATTAGTGAACTATTTAAACAACCAATGCACCTTAATGTTTGCTTGAATTTTTTTAGATAATATTTGTTAACAAAGAATGGACATGTTTAGAGTAAATCACATGCTAGTTTTGTAATTATTCCTACATTTAATTTTTTTTTTCTTCCATCAAATATTTAGTCCGAATTATTATATTCTACAAAACGGAGAGCCAAGGGAAATACAGACAGATCATGGATTACCTCAATTCGAATCCCACAGCCTCGTAAAAGGACGACATTAGCAATATTCTTCCCCTCAGCAGCCCTTTTTGCATTCACGGGATGAGCAACCAAAATACGAGATATCTCCCTTGATAGCTCGTTAACAACATCAGCTGTGTTTTTTGCTTCATCAGAATCATCGAGAGCCTGAGCTTGTAAAAGCAGACGGTTATCCTTCAAAGGGTCGGTTCCTGATATGTTTCCACTTAATTTTGGTCCTTTCACGACCACCCCACATCTATGCTCAGTCGCATACCTAAAAACCACAAAGTTTCAGCTTGGTAACAGCAAATGTTATCCCGAGGGTATATTTACAGACGCTCCTTCAAGTTTTGGGCTTATTAAAGAAAAAAAAAATGGCAATTATTTTAAAGAACTACAAAACCCAGCCGCGAGGTTAATTTATGTTACATTTTGTTGTCACATGTGGACCTATTTAAAATATTTTTACAACTACAAATCTCAAGTCTCAACTTATCTGAACGTTTCAAATACGCCAGTATATTCGTGTTTCTCATTTTACACATTACAATAACACCCCTCAACGTTTTGCTAGAAATCACAAATAGCCAGATGAGAAATTGAAAAACAATATCTAGAAAAGGGCGTGACAACTAACATCAACTAACAGTGGGGGCATGACGTAGACGAAATCAAAACCTTTTCAATTCTCCAAATAAGCTTAGGTTTTTCTTTGAATAATTATCCTAAACCTTTAGATAGAGTTAGTAACAATCCCCTACCTGAGCTAACACTGCAAACCAATTGTAAGCTTGACTTGGAAGTTATAAGAACATCGGTTAAGCTGGCAGCAACTGGAAACAGATAATACCTGACTCTAACCTCATATTGAGGGAAAGTGGGCAGCTTCATTCCATCCAAAGCTGCACAAAGAATAGGCCCTTCTTCTTCAAAATGTCTATCAGCCCTCCTGCTGGTAACCACTCCAGTTTCTGCATTGAGGGTTGCGAAATTTGACTGAAATACAAACAAAAGTCAAAGCTTGAGCACCAGCCATGTCATCAATGTATTTCAGAAGAAACAACAGATGATTGTGAGTATAGATCACGTCAGAACATTATATATCTTTGTAAACTAGACACGAAGAACAAGTACAGAAAATTGGGGCCGGCTGGAATGACATGAATAAGGCATAAAAGTTGGACAGAAATAACTCATAAACTAATACACGTGTAAAGATTTTTCATTCTTGTACATAAGCCTCTGTCCGTCAAGGATAGCAGGAGTCTAAATCTGTGCTCGTTTTACCTTAAGCATAATCTGAGAAGATATATAAAGGAATTGAAAATGCTTACCTAATCTAGAATCTCTGCATATCTAACGCTTAGAAATAAGATACTCCAAGTATTGAGTAACAAAGAAACTGATAGTTTCATATGGACTTCAAATCTCAAAGTCTGTCATTTAAAAAAGACAAACACTGGACTCGTAATAGCAACAACAACAATAATAACAATAGTAATACTAATAATCACCGTGAGCTTAAAAGTTTTTCCCAAAATCGTGAGATCATGTATAAAACTACTAAAACCAGGATTAAACAACTCTAAGAACATGAAATGTTGTATGCCGAAACAGAACAAAAGAGCAAGCCCATCACCTTAAACGCAATGTCCCCTGGAGACATAGCTAAGCCCGCACCCATTGACTCAAAGGCACCTCGGCCTCGATAATAAACCCTCGGATCATAGCCCAATAGAGAAAGATGCGCAGTGTCACTCCCACAGGCCAGCCCAACTTCAACAGGATCCATTAGCCCATTTATTCCAGCAGATGCAATGGCATCCAAGTTAGGCACATTCGCTACTTGCAGAGGAGTCTTATAACCGAAACGTGGTAGTGAAACATCTCCTAAACCATCAACCAGCACGAAAGCTACTCTTCTCTTAGGCTTATCTGAGTTAGCCATTTCTTTCCCTTTTCAGATTGTGATAGCTTGTTCCTTTTATGGTTTTTCCCGAATTAACAAGAAATGATCCAGTATTAATGACAACAAATTGCATTGCAAGACTAATTTTTCAATCTTCAAAAAAATACTATTATTTTAATTAAATCAAGGGAACATGCTCCATAGAGCATCTTTTCGTACCTGTTGAGATTCTTGATTTCAGATATCAATAGTACTATCTGCAAAAACAGCAGAATATTTTTTTAGTACAAATACGAACACGTTGATAGACTAGAAAAGGGAAACCACAGTCACATAAGTGCTAACATTCACTATGTAATAAAAAAATTATTAAAAAGAAAAAGAAGAGTTCTTCATGAGTGATTATAAGAAATAGTTTCTGAACCAACCAAAACTTATTCACCAGGACCATCCTTACAGCACAGCATAATTCAATATGAAAAAAAGTAAATGAAGAACACTGATCAAATAACCCTTGCTTTATACTCTGCAGAGATGTGATTGATGCTTACTTAAAGCAAGATGGGTAATTTCAGAATCTAACATAAAAATCGAGGGAGCTGGAAGTGTGTAGCGTGCCTCTCTCAAGTCTCAGGTGGTACTGTTTCTAATTTTTATACATTTCTTTGGCCCTAAAAGAACTGTATATGATACAAAGGGACATATTCCACAGGACATATTCCACAGGTCTTCATCTGTCGGTCGGTTAACCCCACCGAAACAAAATATCAAAACTGAAATATTCCCAAAGAACGGTATATGATACAAAGGGACACATTCCACAGGGTCTTCATCGGTCGGTCACTTTAACCGAATCCATACCAAGAAAAATAGGGGTAACAAAAAATAAACAAAATTCAACTCTATTTTGATCCCAACAAGAATTCAAACACCAAAATGATACTGAAACATAATATTCAATGCCATATACAATCGTTTGCACTCCAAAATAAGGTATATACACCAAAAATTTGTTTTTTTTTTTTTTCTATACAACCAAAAAAATTTAAAAAATTAAAGGTAATTTGAGAAAGATGTTGGTGGAGAACCGACTGAAGCTTTAAAAACCAATATAACGTAACCAAAACTAATTAACAAAATAAAAAATACATTCACACTCAAACATATCAAACAGATTCTCAAATTCACATACCCACCAACCTTCGTCATTCCCTCTTATTTCATGGGTTCATTAATTTTTACAAACCTTTCATTTTCTCTCATTCAAACTGCAGATCCAGTTTAGCTCTCAGTCTCGAAGAAGGGGGCGAGGCCGCGAGGGGATGAATTTGCATATCCTCTTTAGCTCTCAGTCTCGGAAAACATAAGAAAGGAGATTAGGTCGAATTGATGTTAGGTGACAAGGTGGCGACGGGTTGCAAGAAGTGTTCTGTAACACTTCTGTTGGAGTCGGATTACAGAAATTGGAAACGTTTGCAGGCGCCTGGGCAAAGAGATAGTGCGTAGGATGAAAAAGAATAAATAAATAAAAAAAAGAATAATCCTTTGAAAAATAAATATTTGGGCTGATTGGGCCTACGTCCTCTTCATGAACAAATGGTTGAATGGGCCTTATGAATTCAACTTATATCTACGGTTCTTCGGTTTTTTAAGGATCTTTGGAAAAAAAAACCTAAAACCGGAACTGAAAAGGAAGGCTAAAATTTGAACAGATAAATTCATAACATATTAAACAATAATCGAAAAGAATCGGATTTTTCCAGTTCGATCGAGTTCGATTTTGCGGTTTTCAGTTTTAAAATCATACCTTGGGAGGTGGCGCAGCAACAGTGCAACATCGTGACAGTGAAAATTCTACTTTGAGCTTTTGAAGAGAAATGGACCGAATGGGTCAGTTCAGCACTAACAAAGTTGTAAAATATTGTGAAAATTCCGTTACAAGATCCAATTTTTTTGTATTTTATTAATTTAAGGCCTTCATTTTATTTTTTTCTCAATAGAAGATTTAGTTTTTAAGGTATTTTTTATTTAAAGTTCACTTTTTTATCTAACTTCTCAATTTAAATATGTGAACGGACTAATTTTATTTTATGATATAACTATGTGAACAAAAATATTATTTTTTAAGTTATATTTCATATACATAGAATTAAAAATAATAAATATATTTAGTAAAATTACTTTAATAAGAAAGCGAATCTATATAAATTACATTTATGAAAAAGTTTAATATTTATTGTTTTTAAAAATTGATAAAAGAAATTGAAAAAAATATATAATTAAAATATTATTTTTATTAATAATCTAAATATGAAATAAAAATAAGAAATAACATTTAAATGTAATTTTCAATTTTCTTGTTCTATTACTTCAATTTTTAATTTTCTATTTTTGTGACATATTTGGATTTATTTCTTAAATTTATTACACGTTTACATTATTACTTCAATAGCTGCACGTACTCAGCTAGCGCAAGTAGCACCGGAGGCCACAGTGCGACATGCGGAGCAACGCAATATGTTGAGTCGAGAAAACGACGAAAAAGAGCGCTCGGTAAACTCCCTAACACCCTAACCAAATCGACGAGACCCTGCCCTGGAGCACATGGCTGCTCAACTACGCGAGCTCCAGAGAAAAATTGAGGGGGGACGTGTCCTCGACTTCACGACCACTTGTTCGCTAACGAAGTGTTGGATGAAGATTTGTCGCATAGGTTCCGAGAGCTAACCCCTCACTTATGATGGATCTAAGAAAGCGAAGAGCTTCGAAACCATGGTCGTTTAATACAAGTATATTGACCTAACATGTTGTAGGGCGTTTCTAGCTATGGTAAAAGAGCCTGCATCGGACTGGTTTCACTAACTCGCACCAGGGTCAGTGAGAGACTTTAAGGGATTCAACTCAATTTTCATAATCAGTTCTTCAGTGCACGACATGAAAAAAACCTATTTGACACTTATTACGAAGCATTATAAGTTGACAAGTAGGTTCCAAAAATTCCGTATAACTATAATTAAGAGGGCTTTTAACATTTTACCAACTAATTATTAGTCACAATAATTTAAAATTGTAAGAAATACATCATTGTAATCGATACAGTGATACAAATGAAAGTTAAATATTTGATATTCATATCATTTTTTAGATATAATGAAATTTATAAAATATAATATACTCATTATGATTTTAGATATTTATATACACATATATAGGCTATTAATTATAATATTTTGTTTGAGTGATCGAGTACCGGTGATTTTCTTTTCTTTTTTTTTTTTAAATGAATGCCTCATTTTTTTTATCGGTAAATGTAAATTTATAGATCAAAACTAGAGTACAAACGACCGAAAGTCGGCATACAAAAGCGCAATGGGCAGCCACAAACTCGACTCCTCACTCGCATATGAACAGTCTAAGAGGACAACGTCGATTGTTCACTCAAGATATAACGCAAAAAGTGCCAAAACACTAATGCTCCACGACGCTACGCTCGGCTCGACTCAACTCCCTCAGCGGCCAAGGCGTCGCTGGACATGCTCAGCCTTTACTGTTGAGCTCCCAATGCAAGAGATAAGTCTATCATAACCCAAGGCATTTCTTATCAAACTTGGCAAGTACATTAAGATACACAACAAATATTGTACGATAAACATGTGTTTTAATCTTACGTATCACAAGGTTCGTAGGTTGAGATTCGTTTTCAAAAATCAACCTATTAACGGTCGCCGCGAACGTCGTTTTCTTCAACTTAGTTTACCAAGTAGCTTCTCTAATTTCCTTCTTGGTCCATTTAAGGGCCTCTTGAGATAGCTTATGCCTCATTTATTAACACAATTGCATGTGTAATACCTCCTTGGCTCCTTGTCATTAACTGCAATAGTACTTAACAGTTTAATTTTAATCCTTTGCCCTTTCTTCTATTTTTTTTTTTTTTCTTAATAAAAACATTTGCCCCTTTTTTTCTATTCGGTACCAACCTTTGCCCTTTCTTGTTCCACAAGAAATATGCGCTCGTATGGATTGGACAAAGTCAAACGCGCTGACTATAATTTATACACCACAATTTAGGGTTGACCAAAGTCAAAGATGCTGATCATCCACAAACCCTTTTGGACGAACTACCTCCACATAACCACATTCCGAACCCCCAGAGCCCATTCATGTCCATTTTAGTAAATTTGCAGTCTCTCGAATGCGCCATTAGCCATTGATGCCAACTCAGCAAAGGGCAAAATTGGAAAATACGTCGCCACCCACTCACCGCCTTCTCCACCAAGTTATGGTATAAAACCCAACCCCCAAATGCTTCTCACCTTGTCTCGTAACAGCCCTTAAAACCCTTCCTCAAGATTTATATCTCTCCAAGTTTTTCAGATTAACACCAATCTTAATATTTCATTAACATTTTTCTTCGTAATCTCGTTGTGAATAGAATCGAAGAAGATGATGAGCCGTAGCGCGACGAGGGTGGCGCGGTCGGTTCTGGGCCAGATGGCGTCTCCGTCTTACCGCTGCTACTCAACCTCCGTCGCACGCGGTGGCGCTGCGAGTGACGCCACCGTTCTGACTGGATCTCGCGGTCCCGCGAGGGTTCTGGTGACGTGGATGCGATCGCGCAACGCCTTCAGCACGATGGCTTTGGGTGAGGAGAAGGACGACAGCGGAAAGACAGGAAGCGCCGCCGCCGCAGGTGGCGGCGGGGACGGCCGTAAAAAGGCGATCGCGAGTTACTGGGGCGTAGAGCCTGCAAAGGTCACCAAAGAGGATGGCTCCGAATGGAGGTGGAACAGCTTTAGGGTGAGAATAATTATTACTCGTTTGCGTTAATATTAATGACATGTGCATATTATTGTGTGAGGTTTAGTTGATTTTAAGATATAATTTATATGCATATCCAAATTTAATTTTGGGTTTTGGGATGATGATGAAGCCATGGGAGACGTACAAGGCTGATCTGTCTATTGATCTGGAAAAGCATCATGCGCCGGTTACATTTCTGGACAAGATGGCCTATTGGACAGTCAAGGCCCTTAGGTTTCCTACTGATGTATTTTTCCAGGTATTTTATTTTGAAACCGAAACTAAAGCTTTTTTGTTTGGTTGCTCACTTTGTATGCGCATTATTTCATTACATGATACATTACTGGACTTTGAAAACCGTCGTTGTCTTGAAAGGGTAGAATAAAATTAATGGCGTGATATATTGTATGCCATTTGGTTGGTTTTTTTTCCAGAAGTGTAATGTGTGAAGATTATGGTAATGAGTTTTGGTTTAGTTTTAGACGATCTGTAGGTTTTTGGACAGAATCTTTACAAGTTTAGGCCAGCACGAGTTGCCACCCACAAGATTTGGATCTGGTTTTTGAAATCGACATCTACGAAATTATGCATATGTAACCGTAATTGATAAGAAGGACAATAATTTTGGATTAAATAAAATAGTAAGCAATATTACCAACATAAATGCTGCCATTAGTTTATACATTGGTTTCTTTGTAAAAAAGAGCATTCTTATATTATAATGTAAAGTATGAGTATGCATACTTGTTTGGGGCTGCCTAACCATTAGACAGTCTAAACAGTAACAGAAGGCAAAAATGATGGAATTTAGTGTTAAGATATCATCATCATCATCATCATCATCATCCGTTTGTTTGTAATTTACAGAGGCGATATGGATGTCGTGCCATGATGCTGGAGACAGTGGCGGCAGTCCCGGGTATGGTGGGAGGCATGCTCCTCCACTGCAAATCCCTGAGGCGTTTCGAGCACAGTGGGGGCTGGATCAAGGCCCTTCTAGAAGAAGCCGAAAATGAAAGGATGCATCTGATGACTTTCATGGAAGTTTCCAAGCCAAGATGGTATGAGAGGGCCCTGGTGTTTGCTGTCCAAGGGGTCTTCTTCAATGCCTACTTTGCAGCTTATCTGGCATCTCCCAAGCTTGCCCACCGCATTGTGGGCTACCTGGAGGAGGAGGCCATACACTCGTATACAGAGTTCATCAAGGAGCTCGACAAAGGAACAATCGAAAACGTGCCTGCCCCAGCTATTGCTGTTGACTACTGGCGCCTTCCGCCGGGGTCCACTCTCCGTGATGTTGTCATGGTTGTCCGTGCTGACGAGGCTCACCATCGTGATGTCAACCACTTTGCCTCGGTGAGTTGAGTTGACTCAAATTTATATGTTTTGATAGGCTCAAAATTGAATCATGGAACTTTATGGATTAGATTGTGGTGTTTGATTGATGAAATTAAATTTTGGCCTAAAAGAAATTGGAAGGAAAGAATGGTTTAGTGTCCTTGGTTGAAATCCTGAGTTCCAATAGACTCAACCACTTTGCCTCGGTGAGTTGACTCTGTTTGTAAATTATAAGTTTCGATAGACTCGGAATTGAATCATGGAACTTTCTCGATTAGATTGTGGTGTTTGATTGATCAACTTAAATTTTGGCCTAAAAAAATTGGAAGGAAAGAAAGGTTTAGTGTCCTTTGTTGAAATTCTGAGTTCCGACAGACTCAGATTTGAATCGTTGGACTTTAGATTAGGTTGTGCTGTTCGATTGATTGACACACAAAACTTGTTTGAAGTGATGCTGATAAAAGTGTGGTTTTTGTTGCTTTTGATTTTGTAGGATATTCACTATCAGGGGCATGAGCTGAACAAATCACCTGCGCCGATTGGATATCATTAGAGTATGAATAAACTTGGGTCTCATCAAGCATGACAGGGTGTGTAGATAAAGATGTGGGTGTCGTTCGTATGGCAATAAATGTTGCTCTAGCATACATTAATCAATTAAAACATAAGCTTTGTTTTTTTTTTTTTAATATCTTTTATTTGGAGATATTTTAATGTGGATCATTGGCATTATATGATTGCATGATTGTGGAAGCATTTGTTTGTTCAGGTGTCATTTATGCATATTTGTATTTGAATTCTTGGTGTTCTATTATTGGATAGTGGATACTAATGATGTGTGAGAAATGTGGTCACAATTGGCAGGATCAGTTGTTTTGGCAGAAAAAAGAAAAACAAAAATAAATGAAACTTGGAGCAGAGTTGTAATTTAAGGAGTTATGGTTTATGAAGAATCTTTCTAGCAGCATCAGTGTCAAGTTCAATTTAGATAGCTGCCTCGAGAGAGTGAAATACAATACCAATTGAAGGCAAGGCTGAAGATGCGGTATAAAACACAACTACTGAAAATATATATAGATTCTCTCGTCGTTTGTATTGTGGTGAAGAAAATACAGGCTTAATGGTTTCTTTAGCTCATATTTATTGGATCACGTGAAATGGTGTGATCGATGCACATTGTCTGGCTCGAGGCCTTAATTAGTCGAACTCGAACTCCAGTCAAAAAGTTCTGGCTCGATTTTTGAGGAAGATTGACAATCACTCTGATCGTCTGAACACGTTCTGAAAAAATTGGTAGCACCGCCTGACATGTCCCATCAACTTTTGTATAGATACACGCGATGCCACCCTACAACCCTAGGTGGCACAACGCCTTTAATGCCATAACCCTAATTTTAGCTATAAAATCAGGCCTCCACTAGAGGCTAAAGGCATTATGAGATCATCGCTCACTGCTCATCACAACAATAGCCTTCACCACTACCCCTACTTTCATATTTATAGGCAAAGGGGCATGTGGGTCGATCGACTTTGGTCGTTGGGTCAGGGACGATATCAAGAGTCGGGATCAAACGGGCGAATTGGAAAGGCGATTCGAGCAGAGCAGTGTTGTCGGATCGTGGCCAAAATCAATGGCTAAGATCAAGAGAAGCAAAGTCGAAGGGACAGGCCATGGGGAGCCGTTGGATCATGGTCGATATCAACGGCTGAGATAGACCAGCTAAAGAGACAACAAGAACTTAATTGTTGGATTATAGGTGAATTGAACAAACATTGTACGAGGCTAGTGCGAATCACGGAGCGATGACGTCGACAAGATGGTGATTGATTGGATCTGACAAAGAAACAGAAGTTTGAATTTTGAAATTTGAACTAAATACCATAGGGGGATGTCGAAGAATAAGAGTTGGAACCCACCAACCAAAATCAAAGACAAAAATCTATTATTAGATCGAGTTATCCTAACTCGACTACAGTGGGGAATCAGATGATATGGGAGAGCACACTAGGAAGAACAAATCCAATAAATCGGCTAACCAAGCCGAGCGGACTGGTTGGTCGAATAGGAGCACAGATAGGTCGAACAGAGGTAGAACGATAGTTCAATACATGAGCCTTCAGGTCAAGGAAAGTGTTGGAAGTTTAAAGAGACATCGACAAGTCGAGTTAAGGCCCTCAGACGGCCTGGTGAAAACTAGACTTGGAGGTACGATCGGTCGTGTGATCGACCAAGAGGCATGCGAGCTCGACATACGCAGCATTCTACCTCGATGTAGTTTGGACCAGTCGCACGATTATGTAGTCTAATAAGACAGACTAATTGATAAGAAAAAATATTATCATGAATATTATATCATTGCGTTTCATTTGAGTTCAAACTTATCACATTCTATGTACTCATTTTTTGCTCTGCCAGATCAAATGAAATTCGTGTAATTAGGTTAGTTGTTTTGTGGGTTCAATATAAAACAAAAGTACTTGGTTTTAGTACTTATCACACATATCTTTTTATGTTACAATATCAAAGTTAGAAGCATGTATTGTTCAAACACTAAGGTTGTCGTTAGGCTGATATAACCATTAAACATCCATACTTTTTTAGCAAATATTACTTTTAAAATGAATATATATTTTAAAAAATAACATAAACAAATGTATGTTATTTAATAGCATAAATATACATTTTTATTGAAAAATATGACATGTCAGCATGTCTAATGATTAGACCGCTTCACATAAGAAATTATAATGCTTAAAGATTTTTTTGCTGAGACAACTAGACATGGCTACAGGCTGCCCGACCCGCCGACCCGACACGGACCAGCCTGGTCAAACCCGTTGATCACGGGTCTGGGTCTGGCTCGAATTTTAACCGGGCCGGTCCAGGACCTTGTTTTTTCGACCCCAAGTCGGAAAAAAAACCACATATTTTGTCTGTGTTTTAAATTTTTTTATCAGGCCCAAATTCTGGTCGAGTCGGACCAAGCCCGGCCCATCGAGCCATGTACCTAGCCCGAGCCTAGGTTTGTGCCAGTTATGAGTCCATGATTCCGAGCCGGTCGGCCTGCCGGACTAGGCCGGATCCGGATTTTGGCCACCTCTAGAGAGAACAATAATATTATTTTAACTAAATTATTTTTATATATAAATAAGTTTTTAAAAATTTAAAATAATATTATGAACTCTATTAGCACTTTTTTTATTTTTTCAGACTTGTTGTATAAATTTATAATCCTACACCTCTACAGTATTGGTCTGTTCTAGTATGAAACTATATGCACAATCTTTATTTTTTTTTTTGGTACAATAAAAAAGGCGACGCTAATGCTGTCGCTAAAGCACAATCCGTCGGCCTCATAACGGTTGTACCATGCGGTAACATATCACTTCATTCTCAACTCCGCGTTGAAAAAGAAAAACAAAGAATTCCGTGTGAAATACCGAATTGGCCCATTGCTCTCTCCTAAATCTTCATCCTATTCGGCCCCACTGACTTTGCAATCCCTCGTGAGCTACGCTACAACTCGCCAAAGACCCTCTCTCATTTATCTGCTCATTTTCAGCCTTTACCCAACAAACCCTCCGTTCTCTGTATTTGTGGCTTTCGTTCTGTACACAATAATATTTTCATTTCTTTTTTTGTTGTGTACAGCGATTCGGAGGAATTTGAATTAGGTTTATGGTAATTGAGGTTGGATTTGGGCCGTCGATCTGATGGAACGGATAGTGGGTGGTAAATTCAAGCTCGGCCGTAAGATCGGCAGTGGATCATTTGGTGAAATCTTTCTCGGTGAGCTCCTCTGTTCGAATGCGTACAGGGCTTTCGTCTATTCATTTTTTCCTTTTGTTTTGTGTTCCTTTTCTATTAGCCTTGCTGATTTGGTCAATATCTTTGTCGCGCAGCTACGCATATGGATACTTTTGAAATTGTAGCAGTGAAGATTGTAAGTTTTTCCTTTCATGTTAATTTTATTGTATTATGTGGCTAATAGCTAGAGATTAAGCGAAGTGGATGGGAAATCTGCGTGTACCTGTATGTGGTGCACATTGGTTTTCTCAAGTTTGGAAATTTATAATTACTACTCAATGCACCAGGGTTCATTTTCTTTCAGTTCAAATGTTTGAGTAAGCCTTTGCTTGTTCGTCTTGCTTAGGATGATTTCCAGGTTAATCTTTTGTGAAACGATGCCCTTGTGCAATACTGAAAGCTGGGAACTTTTGTGAACGTTAGTCTTTGACTGTTAATTTTTTATTTTTCTTTTTATCTGTATTCGGTTGAATTGACATGTGAAGATTGGTTGATTGCTCATATGTGCTAAAAAATCTTAGGATATGAATATGGTCGAAAACAATGTGCAATTACCTGCTAACCTCATATTCCTTGGTGTCCTTTTGTTTTCCCTTTTCTTATTTCTTTGCAGGAAAACAGTAAAACAAAGCACCCACAACTTCTTTATGAGGCCAAGTTATACAACATTCTTCAAGGAGGAAGTATGTAGTAATGCATTCCAGAATGTTTTAGAGTCGTGGTTTGTATATATTAGCTATGCATGAGTTATGTGAATGATTATGGATCTCCATTACCTTTCATATCCTGTTCCCTCTAATTGGAAATAAGTTACTCATATTAAGTTTTTTATTACTTTTGTTAAGTTAATTGGCTGTATCTCTAGTATAGTTGTTTGTTGTTACTGTTAAAGACATTTGTGTAGCACCCTGTCTTTGACAATTTCTAAAATTAGATATAATTTGAAACTTGAAGTATGCTTTACGACTCCCAACTGTTATCACTTCGCTGTCATAATAATTACGATCCGATGAAAATTAGGATCTCATTTGTTGCATCAAGATATAGAACATCTTAAAATTTTTAAGATATCAGTTTAGGTAGATGAATGAATGTTACCTCAAAATATTATCTGGAAAATGTATGCAAGACAAAATGATGTAATGAATGAATACAAACTTACAAAGACGTTAAATTTGTTGTTACTTGTATCCTTGTGCATTCTGGTCATGCTTTGTATTAGATAACTATGGGCCAAAACTCATAACAGTGATAGGATTATGTCTATGGAGTATTTACTTATGTTGATACACCCTGGCTTGTTTAATGTTTGTCTTCCATCAGGTGGTATACCCAGTATAAAGTGGTCTGGTGTCAATGGGGATGACAATGTACTTGTCCTTGACTTGCTGGGACCGAGCCTTGAGGACCTTTTCGTGTATTGTGGAAGAACGTTCTCATTAAAAACTGTGTTGATGTTGGCAGATCAAATGGTAAGTTAATACATGCACATATTGATTCTGATTTTTTTTTCCTGTCACTCGTTCCACCGCATGGACATTGTTTTGATCTTCAATGCGTGTTTGATTCCAGATAACTAGAATAGAGTTTGTGCATTCTAAAGGGTTTCTGCATCGAGATATTAAACCAGATAACTTTCTCATGGGCCTTGGTCGAAAAGCGAATCAGGTAATGACATACATTCTATCATCTATCCTGTGTTGTTCCTACTCAATAGATTCTCTCTCCTTACACCTTGTTCTCTTTTGCACCTTTTAGGTTTACATTATCGATTTTGGTCTGGCAAAAAGGTATCGGGATTCAACAACAAACCGACATATTCCTTACAGGTGTTCTTCTGCTCATGCTTGTAACTGCAAGGCTTATTATGTTTCAGAAAATCTACGTTATAGCGATGTTATTTTTGTTTTATGCTCTCCTTTATAATTTAGTTCTTGACTTAAAAAACAAACTGTATTATCGTATGGTGACCATTGACTAACTGCCATTAGAAATTTGTGAAGGATGGTGGTGCCACAGCTCTCTGTGGCCGCCGCTATGGCGGGATTTCTGCCTGCCGACATTTTCGGCCATCCACCGTTAACACTAGAAATAAAGCATTGCGCATTGCTCCTGAAACTCCCTTTTCTTTTGGTTTGGTCTTTCCATTTGCCACCTAGTGAATAGTCCATGTTTCACCTTGTTTCTTCTAGGGGTATGCCTTCCATGGGAGGCGGCTGCTAATTTTGACTTTGTTTCCTTGACATCATTAACCACTTGTGATTTTGTTGCTAGGTGATTGATATAGTTTATACTTATGTATTCGCTTTTTTCCTTTTTGACAGCTGTCCCTTAGAAATATATGATTATAATTTCATGCTGTCGTTGCCTTTCATGAGATAAGCCATCATACACTAGGACAGTTGCCTTGGCACTTCCTTTGCACAAGTGACTATATATTATGAATATTAGGGGCATGCTTGTTTATGAAATATTTCATTCAAAATGAGTTATTTTAGTTAACTAGAGTTAATTTTGAAAAAGGTAGTATGGTTAATTGTTAGTGGGATTTTAATAATATATTAAAATAATATTTAAAATAAAATGATTATTAATGATTTGATGTAAAAGTAGGATATAAATGATTGGAAATGATTGCAAATGATAGGTAGTTAAAATTATGTAAGTGGATGAATAGTGAATTAAAGTTGATGTGATATGTAAGAATGATTGGTTTATAATATTTAATTATATAAATAATATAAATGATAGTGGGGTTGAGTTAAAGTTGAGTTAGATTTTGAGTGTGAAATGAATTATTTCATAAACAAGCATGCCCTAGACAATCTCTGTGCCTTTGCTTGTGGAACATGTCTCTCTACTTTTGGCTGCAATGGTTCACTTTGTTTCTTCTTTTCTTTTTCTTTTTCTTTTTTTTTCCCTGATTGCTTTGCGGTACCTTTGACTTGAAAGGGAGAATAAAAATTTGACAGGAACTGCACGCTATGCAAGTTGTAATACCCATCTTGGGATCGGTAAGAGAAGACTTTTCTTTTCCTCTACTTTTTTTTAAGGATGTTATATTTGGTGTTCTATTTTTCATAATAGGTATCAACTTCTCTATTTTCTTTATTTTGTAGAGCAAAGCCGGAGAGATGATTTAGAATCCCTTGGATATGTACTTCTGTACTTTCTGAGAGGAAGGTCTGCTAATCCTCTCCTATCTTAGTTTACTTCATTTATCTCTGTATCTCATGAACAATAATTGCTTTTACATCCCTGACCAACTATAAGTCTGCATGCAGCCTCCCATGGCAGGGATTAAAAGCTGCCACAAAGAAGCAGAAGTATGACAAGATTTGTGAGAAAAAATTATCAACTCCTATTGAGGTGGATACATATATGGACTTACCCCTTGAATTTGTTCCACTAGTCTTGAATTATTTGATTATCAATATTTTATTAATTTTCCTACCTGAAGGTGCTGTGCAAGTCCCATCCTGTGGAGTTTGCTTCGTACTTCCACTATTGCCATTCGTTGACATTTGATCAACGACCTGACTACGGATTTCTGAAACGCTTATTTCGTGAACTGTTTGCTCGTGAAGGTGAGATCAGTGCAAAATCTGCTTCATTTAGGGGACATTAGTTATTTTGGATAATTTCACGAACCACAATGTATTAAATGTAGTGTTTTGACCTAGTCTTGTGTTCTTTTCATAAGGATGGTATTTGCTGCCTCTTGCAGGATATGAGTTTGATTACGTATTTGATTGGACTATTCTGAAGTATCAGCAAGCACAAATAAATAAAACACAAAAACGGGTACCATTAATTCCCATTGTTATCTCATTTAGCTTCCTCGTGCCCGAGCTTACTTTTTCTTTCTCAAGTATATTTTCTGCATAAGATCATACACATCATCTCCATTTTTCTTTTGCATAACTAGTGGATTTTCACTAATTGATTATAAGTTTGACCTTTGAACTTTTCACAGCCAATGGCTGGAGAGAGCAGTCAAGCAGCTCCTATGGTTGTGGAAAAGCATACAGGTATTTTATGCTCATTCCCGTTTGTGAGGGAGTATCAATGAGAAATGACAACTTTAATGATAAAAAATTTGGTTCAAAGTATCTTGAAGTTTGTTTATGGGGGTCAATACAATCTTTTAAGTTGATTCAAGATAAAAATCATTTTGCAGAGATTGGCTCAATACAATATTTTAAGTTACTGGCTCAATGGGATGGAATTCATAAATAATATTAACCTCAAATAACTAGGTCTTAGCAGGATCCAAGCTGTGGACAAACTTGAAGTCGAATCCGTTAATAAAGAAATGAATTAGAAACACAAGATTAGAGTACAAATGCATCTGATTTAAAGAAATAAATAAAAAATAACTTCGACAGCCATGTTTATAAAGATATTTCTGAAATTTGTACTTGTTTGATGTGCACAGGGAATAATGCACCATTTTCAGAAGATTTGGCTGAACGCATGAGGTCAAACAACGCTGCCGCCAGCTCTGGTGTTCGCTTACAATTTAAATCTCCGACCAATCGAAACTTCACCCACGGGAATGTTCTAGACAAAAATGTAAGTAATTAGTCGATTGGAAAGTTGGAACCGACGTATCATGTTTGCATTTTTTTTCTGCTTTCATCGTTTTAACAAACGGCGCAATGCACCTTGGGTCTCTACGGAAACAACCTCCTTGTATAATTACAAGGGTAAGGTCTGCGTACAACTGACCCCCCAGACCCCAACCTGTTGGGAAAAAAAATATATATATCAAACGGCGCAATGCACCTTGGGTCTCTACGGAAACAGCCTCCTTGTATAATTACAAGGGTAAGGTCTGCGTACAACTGACCCCCCAGACCCCAACCTGTTGGGGAATATACTGGGTATGTTGTTGTTGTTGTATCGTTTTAACAAGTATCAGGCAATATTCGACAAAGGACTCTACTACTTGTGTTTGTCTATTCTTAGGTCCAATGATACCCACGTTTGTGTGTGTTTTTCTTCANTTTATATTAATATAAATTGGATTTTAATATATATATATATATATATATACGTGCTATATTGTCTGTAGGTTCTGAGCAATGAACACGTGCCGTCTACTTCATTCTCTCCTGCTGCTGTGGGTAAAGGAAATTCCTCAAAACCTATGTTATCTACTGAAGCAAATGCTAGTCATGGGAATGGTGACAACTCTGGTCCTTCAAGTAGTTGGATTTCATCCCTACGCCGCATTTCCTCATCCAAGTAGTTGATATGTCGAGATAAATGTGGTTTGTTCAATGTCCCTCTACTTATCTGTTAGATTTTGACGCATCAGCTGTTTAGAATATTCGATAAAAGTAATTGCAAATATCATATAATTAGGAAAAAACGTGTCTAATCTGTGTTTCAGTTATTTTTCATGGGACCTAAGAATCTTCCATCAGCTGTTCCATTGTTAATGCTAATTATCCATCACCAGTATTTTGTCTGCTTGCTTATATTGGTCTTTATTAGATGCTATTGTGACATTTTTCAGATTTCACGATTTGCAACGAGGTATGCTGCAATGGTGGGAGCAGCAATTGTTGTTTCACGATGATACTGCTCTGGTCAAAGCTAACCTGAGCAGGACGAGTCTATTAATTTTTCGAATACTGGTAACAAAATGATTCCAGGAATTATTGATCCTCATGCTCCATCTGTTGGATGATTTTATCAAAATTTGTGTGTGTATAGTATACAAATGTTAAAAGGCTTTTCACAGCATTCTCCAGATGCTTTGTGGTTTGTGTTAACTAAAAAGAAGTTCATGTATCTTGGCCTGTAAATCTTCTTTTATTTTATTTTTTTTACTTTCTCCAAAATTATTGTTTTCCTCGTATTAGTAATGCATGGTTTTGTAAGTGAAGTCAGGCGCGAGTTCTTTGTATGAAACTAAGCATTTTGCTCAAAGTGACCAATTTTCATAATTTAGGGCTGTTTTGTGAGGAATTTGGATTTGCGTCCTTGCTTCAACATGAATTTCATTGTCTACACAAGGTAATGCCACTTGAGGGTATTTGAAGGAGCCAATCTTTCTTCTTTTTCATATTTATATTAATTATTATTATCAAAATGAAAATAAATTGAAAGCTTGATAGCCGTTCTAATTCATAACAAAGGGCATGTAAATATTGGTAGTGTTCGATTATGCAATTGTATGGATGGAAGGCAAACATTAATTGCTCGTCAAACAAGTTTGATTGAGCAAACAATACATGAAATTCATTTTGGTGCACTCATTGCTAATTTATTCTCGTTTTAATCAGGACTACCATATGGTGAAAAAACTGTGGAACTTCAAATCAGTACTACCAAGCGCAGTGTAGACCCATTTTTCAGTTGCGAGGATAGCACAAATACGGGGAAAATTTGAAAACATGATACGGTTTAATTGTGAAGAAAGATTCTTTCTTCTATTATAGAATAGAGATTAGAAAATTTGAAAACATAATGTAGTAGAATAGAGATTAGAGTAGTCATGCCTACGGGCCGGCTTGGCCTCTCGGTTCGACCTGAATCGGCCCGAAACCGGCCCTCTGTCAATGGGCCTAGACCCAAGCCCATCGTTTGATTGGGTCGATTTTGGGCCTTTTGTATAATTTTTTTGACCCAGTGGTCCGGGTCGGGCCAGGCCAAAACTGGCCTTCGGGACTATCCACCATTTTTCCATTTTTTTTTTTTAATTATTTTTTGGATTGGCTAGGCTCGGCCGGGCCAAAAAAAATTTCTACAAATAACCTCCCCACCAAAAAACAACACAACCTTGTCTTAAGTTTGCAACCCAAACCCAAATTCAATCGGCGGCGACATTTTTGCCAGCATATCTGTCTTTTGATTCGAGGTGGATTACATTTATCGCTGACATGGTATATGTTAAATGACAGTGTAGACTTTGAGTTTTGAAAATTTCCCAAAATCCCTAAATTTATTACGTACTTGCCCTAACCCTAAATTCAGGGAGAGGAGGAGGTGCAGTAGTTGGGGCCGAGAGGAGTCTCGATGGGCGACCAGTTTCAGGGCCCAGGCACAACCTGCAGGAGTTGAATTGGGAAGCAGGATGTGATAGTTGGTGTCTTGGATACTGGGTTTTGGCCGGAATCGAGGTCGTTCCACGAAGGCGAAATGCCCGATGTGCTGTCCCGATGGCGTGGCGACCCGCGACTTCGATCTGAAGATCCACTGCAACAAGAAGCTGATCGGCGCTAGATTCTTCGTCAAGGGGTACAATACGGCCTCGGGGAGGAAGAAGTCGGAGTCCCCCCATGCGGCGACGGCCACGGCGACCACCGGCGTCGGCGTCGTGGTTTGCAACGCCAGCTTGCTGGGCTACGCGAGCGGGAATACGCGTGGGATGGCGCCTCACGCCAGAGTAGCGGCCTACCGGTTGTGTTGGTAGTCGGGTTGCCTCGGAATACTCGCTGTCATGGAGCACGTTGGTAGTTGGGCTTTTTGGAGAAGAAAACTGATGTGTTTGTCCACGTTAGCGAGAAATATAGTCCACGTAAGATCAAATGCCAGACACACTAACAAAAACGTCGCCGTCGATGAGGTTTGAATTTTTGTTGCAAACTTAAAGACAAGGTTGTGTTTATTTTGCTAATTTTCAAAAATTTAGTTAAAATTGTAAAAAAAAAAATGTAAGATGGTGATATTACCGACAATTATAGACTTTTAAAACACTTCAACCAATAAACCAAAACTAAAAATATCTGTCATTTCACACAGTAGTTTCGTCTTAGAATAGTAACTTTCTGTTATAATTTTTTGTGCCTATTTGTTTATAATTGTAATAATTATAATTATAATTACGGGCTTGCTTGCATTATCAGCAACTTGTGAACACAAACCAGAATTGAGAGAGCAACTAATGGTTGGCATTGGCCCATGCGGGATGGCTCTGAATTCGAGTAAGTGTTAAGGATAACCAAATAACTCGACTTAAATATCGATCAAACCCCAAATACAAACGCTTATGTTAGAATCTTAATTGGTACAACAAAGATTTAAATAAAAGTGTATAGCTGCTCTTATTCGATCAAGTCGTTACTTTGTTTATCTCCAAACCAGTAGTCACTTGAATGAACTAACTGGGAGCCAGACAGTAANATCCTGGAGTCACTTAAAAATAACTTTCTCAAATCAGATCTAAAATATTCTTTTTTCTTTTAAATAACCATATATTGTAAAACCATACGAACGAGTCGTTACTTTGTTTATCTCCAAACCAGTAGTCACTTAATGAACTAACTGGGAGCCAGGCAGTTAAATAAAAAAAATAAAAAATACATACACTTCAATTCTGGAATCATTTAAAAATCACTTTCTCAAACCAAATCGAAAATACTATTTTTTTTTTTTTTAAATAACCATATATTGTAAAACCATAACTTCCTTAAACACAATGTAATAAACTAAAAAACTAATTCTCCACTTTCCCATCACAGTACCTCTTCCAGAACCAATGAGACTGCCACAGCAGATGGATCTCCTCAATCGGTACCTGCTTCGTCTCAGGCAGCAGGAAAAATATGAAGCAGCTCATGATGAAGATGAGTCCCGCAAACAGCAGGAAAATCCCGTATTTGAGGTGGCAGAGAGCCGCCAAGAAGCACTGGGCTATGAGAGCCGTGAAAATCATATTAACACACACAACCATGCTCTGCCCAGCCGACCTCGTCTCCAATGGGAAAAGCTCGCTCGGCACCAGCCACCCGAGTGGGCCCCACGACCTCCCGTAGGCCAGCACAAATATGCAGATCACCACCACCAAGAAGATGCCGATTCCCTTGGGCAGCACCTCCCCTTGCCCGAACTTCAGGGCAAGGGTAATCGCAATCGCAACCTGTTGAATAATTATTGTTGGAATATCACTTGTGAGTTGATCTAGATTGATTCTATATAGGGAAAATGGGCCTTAAGTTATATGCCTAGTGGGCTAGACTAGGCATGTCATCACCAATTGGTTTCGAGATAGAATATCTCACTATGGTGCACTTAGGCTCACGCTTTTCCTGCGTGGGGTTGCACCATCTTCCCCCAATTCTTACGATTATAGCCAAAACGAAAAAAAAAAAATGCAACCTTTATGTGCACCGTAAGCCTGTAAACGAGCCGAGTCAAGTTCGACTCGTTAAATAAACTAGCCAGAAATCGAGCTCGAGTTCGTTAAGACCTCAAGCTCGAGCCGATTTCGAACTTTAATGAGCCAAACTATAAAAAATTATATAAAAATTCTCTTTTCGAGCCTTATCGAGTCGAGTCAAGTTTAGCTCGTTAACCAAACGAGCTTTAAATGAGCTCGAGCTCGGCTCGTTTAATTTAACAGCACTGTGTGCAAGCAACACAAGGTTTAAGTGCGAAGAAAACGAAAAAATACATACCGAGCAGCATATCATCTCGAACCCAGCCTCCAAAAAGAAGGCCCGCCTCCCGAAACGATCGACAAACGCCATGGATATCAACGTGGCTAAAACCAGAGCCGCGCTCGTAATAGCCGACGAATACAAAGAAGCACCCGACCCAAACCCGAGGCTCTGAAAAATAACCGGCGCGTAGAAAAGGATCGAGTTCATTCCAGTCAGCTGCTGGAAGGCCGGTATCCCAAGCGCCCCAATCACCAGCTGCGGCCGATTCTTCCTCTCGAGAAGGTTCCGGAAGGGATGCTTAATCGCCTTAGCTGCATTGCTCGCATCTATAAGGTCTTGAAACTCGGCCTCGACTTTCGGGGTTCCCCTGACTTTCTCTAGAATTTGTCGAGCTTCCTCAAGTCTCCCTTGCTCGACGAGACTGTTGGGAGTTTCCGGAAGGAAAAGTCCCCCGACGAACATGAAAGTGGCCGGGACTGCAGCCATTCCGAGAGAAAGCCTCCACCCCCAAGGATGAATCTTCTCGACTCCATAGTTCACAAAGTTTGCGATTAGTATTCCGAGGCATGTTGTGAGCTGGAAGAGCTGGTTGATGGCTCCACGGATCTTTGCTGGCGCCATTTCCGAGAGGTATAGTGGGACCGCCTGAATAAGGTGATAAATTATAACAGTACACTTATCTCGATGAAAAAAATATAGACTAAATTGCAATTCTGGTCGTGTACGTTTCACTATCCTAACTTTTTTGTCCTCTTCGAATTGTTTTTTCTTTTTCTTTTTTTTTTTTCGTCCCATATGTTTGTAGAAAGGTTACAAAAATTACAATTTCGTCCCTTATGTATGTTCGATGACTTTTTTGTAACTTTTTTGCAAACATGAAGGACGAAAAACAAAAATCAATTTGAAGGGGGCGAAAAAGGTATGGTGGTAAAACATACAAGATTAAAATTGCAATTTTACTCAAATATATATATAAGGGCATTTGCTTTTACTTACTTGGTTGCCAAATCCGATGCCGAAGCCAAGGAGTATACGGCCGATGATAAGCATAGCAATGTTTTGTGCGGCAGCATTGAGGATTGCGCCCATGAAGAAGCTGATGGAGCCGCAAATGATGCTTGCTCTACGGCCTTTATTCCTGGTCACGTATGAAGCTCCAAAGGTTGAGACTAAGGCAGCAAAGTAAAGGGAGGATGTGAAGAGAGTTAGGATCTGATTGTCGTATTTGCAGTAATCTGTTTCTTTGAGATGTTGCTGTTTTCTATGGTATATGCTCGGGAAAAATTCCTCGAGAAAATCGTCCATTGAGGTTACGCCTCCTGTGATTACACGACGTTTTTGATTGAGAAACAACAAGTTTTTAGCGTGTAATGGTTTATTCTAAACAAATGCTAAGAAAAAACTTAGAAGGAATAGGTAATTTTCAAGTAGTACATTACAGTTTTGTTTTCATCTTTCTATTCTGCAGCAAAGAAAGGTGTTTCCACATTAACTGGTTCCCTGGTGACAATT